ATTTAACTTATAATTTTGATATGTTGCTAATTTCCTACGAATATTTTTATAATAATTACAACATTAAAAGGTTAACTTAAATCAAAATATTAATTAAGCTTAATAGAAAATCCAAAGATTATTTTTTAAATAATTAAAAGTTGTAATTTATAGTGTTAAATGCATAAACTAAACTATAATCTCAAAATAACTATAAAATATCTAAACCTATTTTTAGAATAATTAAGAGTTTCAAAATAAGTATCTTAAAAATAACTTACAACAATAATAGTTAAAAGTGATATTATATATAAAAATTATATTGTTACATTAAAAAAACAATGTTTGATGTTTTAAATAATTACAATAATATAAATTAAAATGTTCACCAAATTTTTTTTTACCAATTAATTAATTAATTATAACAACTGAAAATATTATTAAACGATATATTATATTTAATTTTATTTATAAAGAATTTATGGGTAGAAGCTTTTAAGATAATTGAGATTATATAGTTTTAAAATATACATATATTATTATATAATTCAAAATAAACAATGTTTTATATCAGCTTAATTAGTATAAGAATTATAATATCAAAGTTAACAACAATGTCATTATTATATTTAAAAACATATATTATTGTAAAGATTCAATATTTAGTTAACGCGCGGGTACTAACCATAAGTACTCTTTCAATATGGATTTTCATGGCTTTATGATCATTGATTGCGTGCAATATGGGCTTCCCATATTACGTAGTTATTCTTCCCCAATTTTCCACTTTCTATTCATCCAATTTGTTTCAACTAAGCTACACAACGACTGCAAGTGTTTATATCTATTAGTTAAGTGTTTGATTGCAGATTCAAGTAGTAACATGAATTGTCTGTCCATCAATATTCAAGGAGTGGGGTCAAGAGACAAAAGGGTATGGATTTAGTCTCTTTGTCAAACATTTAAGGTGAAATTTTTGGGTATTCAAGAATCAAATTGGAAGTTGTGGATTTATTTGTTGCTCGTTCTTTTTGGGGTAACCCTTATTCTCATCATGCTTTCTCTCCCTCTCGTGGAGTTTCGGGTGGTATTATTGCTATTTGGAATCCATATGTCATTTCTCAAAAGAATTGTATTATTTCTGATTATTTTGTTGTGGTGGAGGCTAATTGGATGAGATCGGGATTAGATTTGATGTTTATTGTTGTTAATGCTCCACAAGATGCTGATCTTAAAAGATCTCTTTGGATGCAAATTCTTTAGTTGGTATCTTCTTTTTCTGGAGAATGCATTATTATGAGAGATTTTAATGTTGTCATGGAGGAATCAAAGAGATTGGGGTTACAGTTTAACCCAATGAATGCTACTGTTTTTAATCTTTGCATTGAGCAGGTTGATTTGGTTGATATTCATCTAGGGGGTCCTAGATTTACTTGGAGTGATAAGTGGGGTTCTAAATTCAGTAAACTAGATAGATTTTTAGTTATAGCTGCAGTTGTGGATTACTTCGCTCATATAGATGGTTTGGTTCTTGAAAAGAAGATCCCTAATCATCGACCCATTCTTCTTATGAAGCATAAAGTTGATTTTGGTCCTCTTCCTTTTCGGTTTTTCCATTCATGGTTTGACATGGAAGGTTTTAATGATGTTGTTAGACATTCTTGGGCAATTGGTGTGGAGTCTAACAACCCATGGGTTATATTTAAGAAGAAGCTTCAACTTCTTAATGTAATATTCGATTCTGGAATTATGATTCCCGTATTCGGTGTCGGTCCAAAAGGAAGATGTTACAAGATTCTTTAGAATCTATTGATGCTCGGATTATTGAGGGTGATGGGTCAACCTTTCTTAGGGAGGTTTGGGTAACGACTCTTAAGGAGCTTAATGAGCTATATCATCTTTCTAATGTTGACCTTGCGCAAAAATCTAAAGTTAAATGGGGAATTGAGGGGGACGGAAATTCAGGCTACTTTCAAGGTGTGGTTAATCGGAAGAGGCACCAACTCGCTATTTGTGGGATTTTTATTAATGGTGTCTGGGTGGATGATCCGGGTCGGGTGAAAGATAAATTTCGGATTTTTTTTACCAAACTCTATTTTTTAAGCAACCATGGCTTAGACCTAAGGTTGATGGGGCTCATTTCTCCTCTCTTAACGAGAGTTAGATTCTTTCTATTCAATCTCCTTTTTCTTGGGAGGAGATCAAGAGAGTGGTTTAGGATTGTGGTTCCTCCAAAGCTTCGGGTCCGGATGGTTTTTCTTTTTTGGTTTCATTAAAAGATATTGGGATCTTCTTGATGATAATGTTGTGGATTATGTTTTGCACTTTTATCACCATTCGAGTATCCCTAAGGGTTGTAATGCTTCTTTCTTCACGATTATTCCTAAAGTACGTGATCCTAAAATAGTTCGGTACTTTACACCTATTAGTTTAATTGGTTGTCAATATAAGATAATTGGTAAACTCTTAGCTAATAGATTGGCAGATGTTATTGGGTCTGTGGTAAGTCTGGAGTAGTCTGCTTTTATGAAGGGAAGACAGATTCTTGACGGTCCTTTCCCCCTTAATGAGGTGGTTGCTTGGTGTAATGCTTCTAAATATCCACTTTTGATCTTTAAAGTGGATTTTGAAAAGGCTTATGATTCCCTCTGTTGTGATTACCTTCTTGAAATTATGGGCATCATGGGATTCGGTCAAAAGTGGTGTGGATGGGTTATGGAGCTACTTAGATCCGCTAGAGCTTAAGTGTTGGTTAACAGTTCTCCTATGCAAGAATTCCAAATTCAGGGAGGGTTAAGACAAGGAGATCCTCTTTCTCCTTTTCTTTTTATCTTGGCTATGGAAGGGTTCATATTGCTCTTAAAGGGGCTCAGATGGTGGATGTTTTTAGAGGCATCTTTATTGATGATGTAGATATTTCGCATCTCCTTTATACGGATGATGTTATTGTGCTTTCCCTTGGAGTCTTGATAATGTTTCCTAGGTTATTCGTATTTTCGATGTTTCTTTCTAGCTTCGGGTCTCAAAATCAATCTTCTTAAAAGTAAATTGATTAGGGTAGGTGTTCCCAATTCGATGGTTACAGATGTGGCTAGATCTGTGGTGTGTGGGGCGAATATCCTTCCTTTTGTCCATCTTGGAGTGCTAGTGGGTGATAATATGGGTCGGGTGAAGGCTTGGTTAACCATTATTGATAGATTTTTTAGTAAACTTGTGGTGTGGAAAGCCAAATCTCTTTCTTTTGGGGGTCGGTTTACTTTGATCAAGTATGTTCTTGGCTCAGTGGGAAGTTACCTTATGTACGTGTTTCCTACTCTTGTTACTGTTCTTCATATGTTGGAAGTTATGAGAGCTAATTTCTTTTGGGGGGTTGATTTGGAGGAGAGGAAGATGCATTGGGTGAAGTGAACAAAATTCTAGCTTTTAAACAAGATGTTGGTCTTGGTGTAGGAAGTCTATTTGCTTTTAATAGAGCTATGGTGTTTAAATGGCGTTGGAGATTCTTTCATGATTCTCAGCTTCTTTGGGTAAGAGTGGTTAAAAACATTTATGGGTGAGATGGTAGTCTTACTACTTTGTCTCCTCGTCGGTCTTATTCAAGATCGTGGAATAGTCTCATTCGTATGATTTCTAATCTCCAAGATAGGGGATAAATCTCCTCAACCTTTGTCCAACTAGAGTTGGAGATGGTGCTCTTACTAGTTTTTGTCATGATAAATGGATCTCTGATAGCTCTCTTGCAGCGACTTTCCATAGACTCTTCGCGTTGGATGTTCAAAGAGGGAAATCTATGAAAGAGAGATTTCTTATGGGATAGGATCTGGGTAATCTCTGTCGGTTACCTAGGGATGGTATTGAGCATAGTCAATGGGATGCGTTTATAAAAGTGGTTCAGAATGTTCGTCTTCTTGATAGATCTGACAGATTGGGTTGGCTCATCGATGTGTCAGATATGTTTTCTATTTCCTCAAACAATACCTTTATTGATTCTACTACTCTTGTTGATACTGATATAAGGTGTGATACTTGTTGGAACAATTGGGTTCCAATAAAACTCAATATCCTGATGTGGAGGATCAAACTTGGAGGTATTCCAACTAGGGGAAAGATTGTCTCATCGTGGTGTTGAGGTGTAATCAATCATGTATCTGATATGTAGTGTTGCAGTAGAGACCATTGATCACCTTTTTGTTGGATGTAGAGAATTGTTGGAGATTTGGAACCGTATTGCTATTTGGTGGGATGTCCGTCTTCCGGATAGGTTTGCTATTGATGATATCATGCGGTGGGCTCATTCTACAAGTTTGAGGGCTGGCCAAAGAAAAACTTTTGATGTGGTGATTATCTCGGCTTTTTGGTGTTTTTGGAATTTTAGAAATAATTTTGTTTTTCGCCCGACTATTCCTAGGAAATCTGATCTCTTTGATGCTATTGTAGAGAGGATATTTTTTTGGATTTCTAACATGTCTAGCAAATCTAGTATCGGTTGGACTTCTATGCTTCATAATCGGGTTCTAGCTTCTATTTTGATGTGATTGTTGTTTTCTTTTTCTAGCTTCTTGCTAGTAATTTAATAAAATCTTCCGCTGTTCTAAAAGAAAGCGTTTAACGACCGACATGTGAATCAGTGTAAATTTTATAATTTGATTAGTAGCGGATCTAGTGAAAACTGTGATTGCTTGAAGGAGATGTTGAATAATACTTCACCTTCTGAACATTCAAATGCAAGTTGATTAATAACGCACTTCTCTTAAATCCGAAAATTTAAAAACGATTCCACTACATGTATAAGAATGTGAAGTAACAAACAGTAAACATACATTCAATCTATAGAATTCTGAATCCTTCCTTTAAAAAACCGAGTATGCACAATGCTAAGTAGTAACACCTCAAAAAAACAAAATAGAAAGAACATTCATATATTCACATAACCTTCTGTTTCTAGCATCTTTAAAGGTCTTCCTGCATTATCTCTCATCTTCATATAAATTTCTTCCCGTAATTAAGTTTTCTACAAAACCTCAAGCTCGATTGTGGATGGGATCTGACCCTTTTCTAACTGTTCTTTTGCTTGATTGATAACGATTGAACTTCTTGTTTACAGCTTCATAGGATGAACTTCCTTTAAGATCATGCATGTCAACAGCCTTAAGCATGCGATGATTCATTAGTATTCCATGGACTTCTTTCGTGAATCTTAGTTCAATTCCTACACTTCTGACGCCAGAAACTGTATACGGTTCAAGTGCTAATATTCCAATACAGGTAAGAAATATGAACAGTTTATGAGTACTAAGAATCATAGTTCATATGTAAACAAGCTAAGTGGTAAGAGAGTGTGTTTTCTTGAAACCAAGGAGGAAAGAACGAAAGACTGATAGCTTAGTCTTACATGCGCAAATCTAATAGAAGGATTTATAGAATAAATGAGGTGTAGGACCCACGTCGCATAGAAGAAGTTCCAGATTTATCCCAATCATAAGCCTTCAGTAAAAGAATCTGACTAGGATGAATAAAGGAAAACGGAACAGTACCCTTGAGAAGCTAAGCATCTTTTTCCTTCCTCTTTGCTTTTGTCTACTAATGAGATTAACACCAAACCGTTGTATCGAACTCCATTATATCTTGCCACATCAGCATGCATGCCCACGTGGCAATATGAAGGGTATTTTGGTATATTATCTTTGCTTAGTTAGTAAGAAAAGAGAGACATGAGCAGCAAAACTACCAAATAGGCCATTTTGTTTGGCTAGTCGGAAAGAAGAATAGTGAAAAAAGATTAAAAATAGACAAACTTAAATCATTCCTATAAAAAACATATACTTTATGCCCTTTGAAGATCTCACTTTAGCATTCCAAGCTCTGTTTCCCATGCAACAAAAAGAAACAGTGTTAGTTTCTTGTGCTAAATATGGTTCTTTATGCTTTTCTTTATTAATTTGATCTCATTCAAACATGATATCGAGCTCTCTCATCATCACCATCATCAAGGTGGAACATTCTAAAGCTTGTGTTTTTATGCTTTATTGATCCGATATGATGGGTTTTAAGATCAAAGGGTAGATGAGTCATTGTTTATTGATGCATGAGTTGGCAAATGCCAATGGAATACAATTTGTTTTCATAAAGCAGTTAAACCCCAAACATGATCACATATATGACACACAAACATAACAATAACAACACCCAAATCCCATATGAATGGGAAGCATGCACTTCAAAGAATGTAACACTAACAATATAAGTGATGTTAGTATGCTACATCATAGTCACATAATCCAATAGCTTTATGATAAGAGATGATAGAGATTTTGGCTAAGGCAAGGGTACGTAAAGGTTAGATTTATATGTGATGTACTTATTAGATACACTTGCTTCCTTACTTAAAGTAGAACCTAATGGCATTATTGATGATTGGAATCTTTGGCATTTAGGCAGCCAAAATAAAGTGATTATTTTTTATACTAGTTATATAGAAGCTCATAATTCAAAAACCTGTGAGATATTAGCTTTGCAGCTTATAGATTCTCCCAATACTGGTCTTAAAGAAATTGCTTTTGTTAACTTTAGTGCAAATTTTGGGTCCATTAAGGTCGGCATCAAAATACTCTCCAATATTATAAACAAATAAATAAAAGAGAAATTAAAATAAATTATATAAATTCATGATCTAATAGAAATTCATAGTACAACTATCAATGCAATTAGTACTACTGCCTTTGATGGAATTTATGGAGATGGGCATGGGATACAAGTTGTTGTAAGTTCAACGGAATAAGTAAAATTGGAATTTGATTCAAGATTTATGCTAAAGGGGGTAAAGGTGGTTTTACAAGACGGCAATAGGAATGTCACTATTAGTTTATGCTAAAGATGAATGCTTTGTTGGTTGCTTTAAATATTATTCCCCGATATTATACCACTATTTATTCTCTTGAGTTTTATAAAAACAATATAAGTAAAGCTAGATACGAGACATAAAACTATGTATATTGTGACAAGAGAAATTAATTAGTTTTCTACATTTTATTCTTATAAATCTTCCTACCCAATTAAATACTGACATGTGTAACATTTAATACCAATTTAATGATATTTTAATATACTAATATGACACATAACATCATTTAACTATGTAGAAGGATTTGTAGGAACTAAAGTAAGAAGATATTTAATTTCTCTTGTGACAAATATCGAATGAGAACATATAATTGAATTCAAGATTTTTGATTATTGTTATTTTAAGAACATGTAAAAAATAAAACTTCTTGACTAGTATAAGGGTCTAAGGGTGCACAGTGTCCAAGTGTTTGCGTGGAATAGGTTGTTGGTGCTGGCTGGTCCGTGGCTCCGCCCGCAGTGTGTTCGGTTAGGCAGATTCATCAAAGGCTTGAAGCCACTCCCTCTTTATCTCTATGTATATTTTAGAATTTGTACATTTATATGCTTTAGTATTTGTACATTAGGATTGAAATGAAAGGAATAAATTATTTGTGTCTTGGGTTGGAAAAATAGAAGAAATGGAAATGAGAAAAAACTTATGTCGCACATAACAAGATGATTTGAAGAGAATGACTCCGTATAAATAAATAAAGAAGTTAAAGAAATACTAAACCAAATTAATAAATAAAATTTGAAATAAAGAACCATAAAAGAAAGTTATGTATATTTTATAAATCTTATTCATCGAGAATGGTTGAAAAATTAAACATAAGTAGATATAAGTAGACATGGAATCAATAGAAACAACCATCTTGACGGTTGAAACATTGGGTTATTTATTGTGGATTACAAGTGTCATATGAATGACTTAATGACTTTGGAATAGAGGTGGCAGCCGAACCCGTACAGTAAATAGCGGTGGAATAGCGGCGGGATATCGGTGAGATAGTGGTTATCGGTAGCTAGCAAAATAGCGATACCGCAAATAGCGGCGATATTGACTAATATTTGACCGTTATTTGACTGATATTTGGAAAATATCGGTTGGATAGTGGTGGAATAAAGTTTATAATTAAAGTTTTTAGTAATTCGCTTCATTTATTATTAAAATATAGATATATGGTGGGGGTTTTTATGGGATTGACAAAAATTTGCTTCAAATATTTTCTAATTTACTATATGTTTTTCTTAATGACCTTGTATCCATCCAATACAACACAAGTTTACAAAGGCGCTACGTAATATAAAAATACTGATATCCCACCGATATTCCACCGCGATAACCAATATATCGAATATCGGCCCTTGACTGATATTTGATTTTGGATTGCTATAATTGCATAGAGCCGAACAAGTCAAAATGGGGATGTGTCTGATCTATCATGGTGTAGCTAGTTAAAGGCATGTTGTGAGATTTTTGGAGATAACTTGTTTGGTCCGTGCCTGTTAAGCACAATTTGTAAACAAAATCAATAGTCTAATCTAGTCCGACTTAGTTGTTTTTTTTTTCTTTTCTAATCTTTTGAAATTTTAAACGATAACAGTTATATTCACATTCTCATCCCAATTTATTTGGTATATTTCCTATGTTTGAAAATTCCATACTTTGTATTCTCAGTTTTCAAGTTCTTTGTACTTTTCATATGAAAAAAGTGTACAAGTCAATATGATGTTTAGGTTCTCAATGTCAAGCTCTATAAGACAAAGTGTTTGACTCATCTTTCATATTTCACCGTCACGTTAAAGCCACATCACTATCTATCTCCATCTTTCATTATATATTATACATATCTTTTAAAAAACCACAAGAGAGAGATAGAGATAGATAGATAGAGAGAGAGAGAGAGAGAGAGGGCATTAAGGTTGTTATCATCGGGCCACCCTAAGCAGTGTGACGTTCCGAGCAAGCCACTTGGGCATTTAATTTGATGTGTTGTATTATATATATTGGATCTATATGCTCAAGAATCATTATTGAGTGATATTGCTAGTAACATATGATCATATAGAGTCATACCTTAATCAAGTTGACACTTATTGAATATTTATCAAGTATTTGATTATTAATAAATAAATTCAACTTTTATATTTAATTAGAGAAAAAAATAATGTTTTGTGAAAATAATAATAAAAGAAAAAACAAACTAGATATTAATATATCATATGATACTGTATGATTAATAAGTCATGCACAAATATTTTGGACACTTTGTCTAACGATGATTTATCTATTTGTTTAATGCTTTTGCTTCAAGAAAATGAAAGACAAATTTTGTCTTCATTAAGGCCTTATGGCAAGCTCCCTCTCTTATCCTAATGCATGCCTAGTTCATTTTTTAATACTTTTGAATTTTGTAATGGGGTTTGACTTTCTTTCATGGGAGTATATAACAAGGTGTTGTGCATGAGAAAAGAATCTCTTGAACTCTTGCTTTTACTCCCTAAAACTGTAACATCTTCTTCATATTTCCTTCTCTCTTTTGAAGATAGTTTTGGTTATTAAATCTCCCTTGTGTTTTCTCCTTTGGTTCTTACTTGTATTAAGTACTTAAAGGCTTAAGATACCAAAGAATAAAAGAAAGAATAAGCATTCCAAAGTGTTTTACTCTTGATGGTGGATACTTGTAAAGAAGATCATGCTCTTTGATATTTTTATCTTCATCAATGCCCCAAAACCAAATGGATTCAAAAGCTCCATAGATTGTCATTCTAAAACATCATATTGTTGGTTTTAATAACATTCTAACCTCTTTAAATGGATCATTGGTGGTTTTGTTTTAAAATAAACTCGAAAATTACTTGTGAATTTTTAAAGCTTCCATTGCGTTTAAAAAAAATTTTATTTTAAGTATCAAACCCACCAGTGGTATTAGATCCATCTTTTATATGTTAGAATGATTTTTTTATGTTTGATAATCTTTGGTTTTTGGAAAACAAACATGTATTTTCTTTAGCTAAGAAATGTCCATATTTGTCTCCTTTGGTAACTTGTAATTCAAATTTGTTTAATTTTATATATAACCATTTTTCATGCATTTTGGTTGTATAAGTTGTTTTAGAAAAAGAAAGAGTTATTTGTTATTATACATATATGATATGTATAAACTAGCTATGGACTAGTGTGTTTTCGTGTTGTTTTGTTAAAAATCATTGTAATACTTATTTATTTATATGGTATGTAATAAATAAATATATTTGTTTTCTTCATTTAATTTTGTAAGTAATAGATTAGTTTTTAGAAATAATTTATTTGTACAAAAATGTAACAATAAATAAATATGGATCCATTTTTTGAAGGTCAAAAGGTAATTTTTACAGCTTTGAAGTGTGTAGGGGCCATTCTGACACTTCTACAAAGTGTTGCATGTTGCTGAATTATTTATCTTTCAAATTGCTTTTCACATTTTGCAAACAGTGTATGTTTTTTCAAATGCGAGATATAACATTGATAGAAGATTTTTGTCCATTTAAATGTCCATTTAGAAATGGACTTGACATTTTGTATTGGCTAACCAAATGTTACTAAACTTGGTTGATTTATGCGTGCGCACACACAAACACACACACACACACACACACACACACACATATATATATATATATATATATATATATATATATATATATATAAATGCATGCTTGTGATGTTTATTTTATGTTGTTGTATGTTATGTTTGATGTATGAACATTGTTTTTACATGT